CAAGACATATGGAGAAAGGCCAAGGAGAAAGGCTTAGTGAGTATATGAAAATATTCCTAAGTCATCAGCATCTAACAGTTTCCCATGCAATTAAGAAAGAATTTGTACTTTTATTTCTTGTTCCTAGTGGATTCAAAACAAAGTAAAATCCATGTTTGGAATCTTGTATAGAAGCCAGAATGTCCTGACTCTATGTGCCCAAGTTTTACCCAAGGAAGTAACTGTAGGCTGAACGAATGTGCCATTGCAGGTGGTCCTTAGTATTAAAAGGGCTGGGTGCCAAATGTTCCTCCTGACATTTTCTTCCCTTGGATTTTGAAACTTATTCCATAGAAGCAATGTGATATAACAGAGTTAGGAACCCATGCCAAGCTATTGAAAAATGCCTATTTAGCATTCCACAGAGTATGCCTAAAGTTTTAAAAGTTCTGGGTCTTGGAAGCAGGAAGTCCTGAAGAGTAAAAAATAAAGTTCCCAGTGTAGTTAAAATCATGCAAGAGGAAAAATGTTTCTGTTCTGAGTTTCTTAGTTACTGTTGCCCTGTCTTACTACAATACCTTGCTCAGATATATTCTATTCCTCAAAAATAAGCCACACTATAGAGGTATATAATCTTCTCAGTCGTAACTTTAATCCTTAGCTGTCTCTAGAAGGTGCTAGGAAGAAAGCAACCTCACTGAAGCAACTTATACTAATATGTAAATGACTTACCTGTACATTCATTTATATGCACAATACACACACATGAACATACACAGCTGTGTTACTTCTGTGTTAGTTAGGCATTATTCTAGCAGCCAGGGATAAAACAGAGGGGGAAAAAGGGTAAGATTTATGTTCCCATAAAGTTTACATTTCAGTGAGGAGAGTTAGACAACATTTATTTGAATAAATTTCTATATTCAAAAATGAACACACAAAAAAAATTCAGAAAGTATTGAATATAGAAAATAAGGTGGTGTAATAAAGCAGAACTTGTAGACCACTTCACATTGCATGATCTCTTTGAAGTAATATTTAAGATGAGATACAACGGAGACAAAGAGCCAATCTTGTATAAGTGAAGGAAAGAGCATCTTAACAAGCTAGGACAGCCCCGAGAAAGGAGTGAACTTGCTGCAAGGAGGACAACGCAGGGGAAGATAGGCAGGGGAGTCACATAGGTTTCTGTAAGTCAGTGCTGCTTTTAAAGTCTACCCTAAGTGAGATGAGCAGCCTTGAGTTGTGGCTGGATTTGTCCCTTAAAACAATGTGTAGCAGAAGCGTGAAGGCTACGGCGGGTCTGCGCTGCTGTCTAGACCAGAGGGGCAGTGGTGGAGAGACAGCTAAGTGGGTTCGATCGAGAGAGACTTTAGAGGAGTGATCTGCAGGAGGTACGGAGGGACTGGATGCAGGGATGAGGACAAGGAACAGGGACACCTGGGCAGATGACTGTGCTGTTTTCCTGAGAAGGGCGAGATCTGGAACGAAATGGTTTGGTTGAAGGACAAGGCACTTAGGCAGTGGAAATCAACAGTTCTATTTTGGACATGGTAATTTTGAGCTGCAAATTACACATCTGGCATCAGTACAGGGAAGGCAGTTGTTACATGAGTCTAGAGCTCAGAGCAAAGTCGAGGCTGGGGATACATATTTGGTGATCACTGGCATACGGACAGTGTGTCAGCCATGCACGGAGACCGATGTGATGGACCAGGGAGTGAGCATGGACCCAGAAGCGAAGAGGGCTGGTGGACAGGCTCTGGCGCACCCCAACTGCAATCCACATTTCATTTTACAGAAAAAGATAATTTTAGTCATATGGCTGCCACACTTTCCAGAGTTTATGAATAACAAAGATGCAGAATTGGAAAGAGACTATCCAGAACCCTTCTCCAAACAGACTGCTCTGTGAAAGGTGATTCAGGAAAAGCAGGTCCTTCCTCTACTAACCTGATAGGTCTTAACCTTTGGTTAGGTACACATAGGAGAGCTTGAGGGGGACTGAAGACTCTCAGGAATTTTTCTCTGCCAGTAGGTTATAACGAGCATTTGCTACCATTCTATGATGAAGAAGCTCTCTCTCACTGAGAAAGTCCTAAGCACTTTTTCCCATGGATTTTGAACAACATGGTAAAAACACTTCAAATGATATTTAATTCTTCCTTCAGGTAGGATGTGTTTCCAGTGCCCTTCAGGCCATCATCAGCTAGGAATCTAAGAGTCTCCCTAGAAAGGGGCAGTGGTGCATCAGTTACTAGCCAGGAGCTCTTTTCCTTTAGGGAAAGTGTCAAGACATCAGCCTAGAGAAAAAGCTGGGCCCTGGGTCAATGCCAGTTAATGGTAGGCTCTAAGTGAAGAAGATGAGTTTACCTCATTCTTCTTCTGCCTGTAGCAACTGGGCTTTGGGAACAATAGCCTTATTATTTTTTGAAAGTCAGGAGATAAAATAAAGCACCACTTGGATTATCATCATTGAGGAATAAGGGCAGAAATATGATGTTCATTCAGCATCTTGTTCAATTTGCACAGCTAATTTTTGAAAATAAAAGTTGATATAGATATGATTATTTGAGATTACCTATGAATATATTGTTTGGGGACCATGCTGCATAGTTAATGTTGTATCAAATTACAGGAATTCTCCCAGTAACAGAGGAGAGACATCTGTATCCCAACAGGAAGAATTTATGGCATTGTAGGGGAACCATTTTGACAACAAATGATTCTGTTGTGTTCTTCCCAACAGGCTTTCTTCCCTCTTGATGCCTCTCCCTGGGAACTGAGGTGGTGTTAAGTAGCAAAACAAATGAGTCCTCTGAACACTGAGGTTTACTGTAATCCACATTTTATGTTGACAGAGAAATATTTTTAATCATATGACTGTAGACTGCTCAAAAACAGTAATACTAAAGATGCAAACAGCCATTTTGCAAGATTGGTATTAGAGAAAGGAGCCGTTTTTAGATATTGAGATGAGGGGCTTGGAAATTAAAAAAACAACAACACATTATTTTGGGACAAGGATTTGATTCAGGGAAAACATTTAAAAAATCCTTTTGAAAGCAAGAGATGTATTTACTAGGACCAACTTCTGACTTTGAGTAACTGTGATGAGAGACCTGATTTTGCCTTCACTATCATAGTTTGAACACACTCTCCTCCAGGGTTAAACCTACAGCTGACAGTAAGCTAATGTGGGCGCCAATTTATACAGTGATTTAAGCCTGAGGCAAAGTGGACCTCAAAACATTTTCTTATAATAACCACAGAAGCAGGTTAAAATGTGAATATTTTACATTTTTCCTCCTACTTGGTAAATTTCTGGTCATTTTTGCAAAAAATTCAAAGTAAAGGCGAATGTGGAACTGCTAGAAGACAGCTGAGACAGAGAGGGCGCCCGCTCTACTCTGAGGATTGGCAGGGAGCTGGAAGACTGTGCACAGCCCTCCCCACTCAGGACTGAGAGCACGTCCTGAACCCCTGGCGCCTCCATCACCAGAACCATGCCAGGCGCTGTCATCAGGACCCCCAAATGGTCTATCAGTTGGGTGGCACCACGTGGTATGGCCGACCCCTTCATCCCTGGTTACTCATGGATGAAGTGTCCAGATTTATACTGGTCAGGTCCCCCTAACGTATTCAACATAAACCATCCCTGGTTACTCATGGATGAAGTGTCCAGATTTATACTGGTCAGGTCCCCCTAACCTATTCAACATAAACATCACAAAAGCCATTGTTTCATCAAATTCTTTCTATATCCCAGATGCTCTACTGGGTGCATAATTTATAAATGTTTTCTCCAGTCCTTACCATAATTCTGCAAGTTAAGTATGGTTATCCTGGTTTTACAAATAAAGAAACTGAGGCTCTGAGAAGTTGAGTAAGTTATATTCAGTCACCGAGATGCTAAGTATCTGAGTAGAAAACAGCTAGAGGATTCCAGTGACAAAGTAGACATGATTTAAATTGTACTTGTTTAGACTCAAAACCAAAAGCCAAGGTTGCCCATGATGGCAAATGTCAGTAGTACTTCCAGCATTTACTTAAATGCTGTGGTAAATGTGGAATGCTAAATGGTGCCATCAGCTGGGCTGTACGGCCCCTCACATCCTGCCTCTCCCCCAGGTTGAACACTGTATAACACTTGACCTTGAATGCAGGTTGCTCAGTTAAGGCTGCACATCTGTCAAGATGTCAACTAGTGCTGAGGAATAGGCCCAGAACTTCAGTTACAATAAGGTCTGATGTGTAGCAGAGTCACCTGTGAACTCAAAACACACATTTCTAGGCCCTTCCTCTAGATCCTCTGATTCCATTGGTTGGTGGTGGGTCTCAGGCATTTGTATTCTCTTAAAGAAGCCCAGGTCATTTTGATGCCCACCAAAATTTGAAAATTACTGCTGTCATTGTCATGTTGGAAGGATAATGTCTTACTTGGAAATCAGAGCAAACCAAGATGAGCTGAAGTTGCAGGATGGGAGAAAAATTCAGCTGAGAGGAATGCATGAAGGGATGCCCATGAAATGTGTGCTTTGTGAGGTTACTTTTTCCCTTTCCTGATCAACGTCTGCCTCTTTTTAGTTCCTCCCATTAATACTTGGGCCCAGAGAATATCATATCAGGACTTCAGTAAGGATTTATCTTAGTTATCCAATACAGAGTGTTGTAGAAATAACCTAAAAGACAGAAATTTTGTTTTTGTTTTGTGATTTTAGAAGTGCTGATTGTACTGGGGAATTCAGCTACAGATCCATCCATCAGATCATCCTGTTCTGCCCCTCCGGCCATGCAGTCCCTCTGGGGGTGCCTTCCTGTCATCACGATGATACCGACCAGCTTTCTAACCTTGAAAGATGCCATGACAATGTCTTGGCAGGGACATTATTCATAGCTTTGGGCTCTTGTCTTTCAGAGGCCTGGTTTGTCATCACAGTCCTTGAAATTGTTAGATAAGATAAGGTCATAAGGCAAAGGGGCTTTCACGTGGGGGGCTCGTATGTGAATGTATCCTCTACCTGGTACTGAAGTTCCAAGTGCGACGAACACCACCGCAGTCACAGAATCTTTCAGGCCGATGGTGCAGCCGAAGTGGGAAGCCAGGTCGCCAATGAAAGCTGTCAGTATGCCAATCATGAGGATGGAGACAATGAAACACGCCCAGCCGTTCCAGTATTCCGTAGGGGGCACGAAGGCAAACAGGACCTTCCAGAACACAGTCAGGAAGTGCATCACGTAATCGAAACAGGAGGGTAGCTTCTCCTCCCCACACTCGTCATCGTCATCGTCTTCCCCTAGAAAGAAAGGAGTGAAGCACATCTCATTACAACTTGTGCTCTCAGGGTCTCCCTCTCAACCAATCCTGCCTGTCACCTCTGCGCTCTGAGTGACCAGGAGACCATTAGAAGTGGGTGAAGCTTAGGGTTTTCCAAGAGTCAATCATAATGAAACAATGAGTGTTTCATGCTTAGTGTCAGGTCAAAGGCAAAAACTTAATACCCCCAGCACCCAGTTTACTAGTTAGATGTAATCAACACACTGTATTCTCCTGTCACCTCCAGTGAGATTTGTCACTTCAGAGAAGTGACAAGGATTTCTTCCAAAAGTCTGGGAAGCCCTGTGACTGGCTCATAAAGAAGCCTCTTCTGAAGGAAGATAACTGTGATAGAGTTCTTCTGCCAGGATTCTTTTCTTGGAACGCATTTTTGTTTTCCAACTTCAGCTCTGGGCAGTCACGCTCCCATAATCACCTTCAGGACAGTGCTCACACAGGGCCCTCCACCGTGGCTCTGGGCCCTGGGCCCTGCCCATTTCTCCAGCGTTACCTCCTGCAACTACTTCAAACTCAAACTTCATCCTAGCTAAATGGAATTATTATTTGCATTCTTCTACAAACCATACGTACTTTCTCCTTCTGTCCTTTAGAACTGAATGTACTTGGTGTGTTCCAATCCTCCCCTCCCTTATGCTTCCCCAATTGTCCTTTAAAACCCAATTCCTTTATGAAACTTTCTCTGAACCCTCTTGCCCTCCAGCAAGAGCTGGAAACTCCTCCTCAGAGCTTCCACAGCCCCCAGCACTTGTAACACTAGATGGATGGATCTCACAGTGTGGTCCCTCTGCAGCAGCAACAGCAGCAGCAGCTGCTGAGTTACCAGGGAACATGTTAAAAATGCACATTTCTGGCCCCACCGAATCAGAAACACGGGTAGTGGTGGGTGTGGGATGGGAGGTGGCAACCACTTAGGCTACAGCCAATAAAATCATTTCCTTGCTTTGCTTTGGTGTTTGCTCTACAAAAGTCTTTCTCCTCGTTCCTGCAGGAGGAGCACTCTGAGCATTTTTGGTTTGACCCCACTCAATTTGAATCCACATTTGCTCAAATAAACTCTTACACTGAGACTCACTAAAATTTTTATCTTTTAAAAACCATTCCCTACAGCATTCATGCCGTATGGTTGTTACATATTTCTAATCTCAATCACTCGTGCCTAAAAGCAGAAGATGCTCTTAAGTGAAAGTAATACCTGTTACAGGTTGAATTATGTTTCCATCAAACTCATGCTCTAAGCTCTAGCACCTCAGAATGTGACTGTACTGGAAGACAGGGCCTTGAAAGAGATATTTAAATTACAACAAGGCTGTTTGGGTGGGCCCTAATCCAATGTGACCAGTGTCCTTCTAAGAAGAGGAACTTGGGACCCACACAGAGACAGACAGTGGAGATGTGCACACACACACACAGAGGAGAAGGTCCCTTGAGGAGGACCCAGCAAGAAGGCGCCCTTCCCTCTGCCAACTCAAGGAGAAAAGCCTCAGGAGGAAATGCACCTGCTGACACTTTGAGCTTGGACTTCTAGCCTCCAGAACTGTGAGAAAGTCAATTTCCATGGTTTATGCCACCCAGTCTGTGGTATTTTGTTATGGTGGCCCCAGCAAACTATTACGGTACCCACTTGGAAGCCTCCTGCGCCCTAACCTTAATGGATAGAAAGAGTCATTCAGTGCTTCTATTATCCACTCCATTTTCTTCTGTCTTTTATGCATTTCTTCTTTTTTCCTTCTTTTGCTTTTCTTCCCATTTTCCCTTTACCCTACACATTAGCTGCAGGTAGAACTCACTGCAAAAGCTGCAATTGTCAGGGCTTATTGAAGGGAGGGAGGAAGAAGAGGACCACCTTAGTCTTTCTCTACTTTCTTCTCTCCCCACTGCCTGCTCCAAAGGAGGGGGTGCTTCCCATACCCCAGGAAAGCTCCACCAAAGGATGACACTTTCAAGTTATGTTCATTTTGTATCTGGTCCTTTTAAATTTCTATATTTGTGCTCATTTTATAATTTCATAGGGTATATGATCACAGCAGTTTGGAAAACACTGAATCTTAATCAGTCATTTATGAAAAACAGATTATTTTGGGTGTCTTAAGTCCATATGGTGAAGATGAATAGGAAAACAAAAAAATGAAGCTTCTCGGAAGAAATGACAATTATAGAGAGTAGATATTATATTTGTCTTCAGGATGAAAATAATAACACCTTTGCCATGGAGGAGTGCAGGGGAACAATTAGATCACCTCTAAAGTATTTGAGAATATTTCAACATAGTAGTTATTATGGTAGTTATTATTTTCCTATACTTAAGGATTGTGACTGTATTTCCCTGTCATTATTTAATTGCTTGGTCAATATGTTGGGTCCTAAGTTTACAGTCAAGGCTTTTAAAAAGAAAATGTGATCTAGCCCTCTGGGATTAACTTCACAATCTATAAGTGTGCAATGAAAAATGAGGTGGGTAGAGAGAGAGGGGTTGAGATCTCCTTTGGGGGCTTCTAGCATTACAAGGAATCCTAAATATTTTAATGCTCATGTCTGGAATGGGAGACCCATCTGTTTTACTGAATGTGAAAGCAGCAGTGGCTTCCCATCCTTTTCCCCAGGATCTCACTGCTCTGCACAAATGTTAATCTCCAACTCAGATGTCACGAAAATATTAAAAGTGAGCACTGACTGCCATGCATGCTGGGTAATTAGCCTGCCTTGGAGAAGGACAGAGAAATGTTATGCTCATCCATTACCATCTGGACTCTACTTAAAAGTCTGTTCCTCGCAAAGATCAGTGGAGCTTTTTTTTTAAAGCCTGGGTGCATCTTTTATGTAATAGCAAAGTTGATGGTAACCTGCCGGGGTGTATGTGTGCCAGCCCAGGGTTACTAGAGGCTTCGAAGTTCTTTGGAACCCCTCCTCTCCATCAGCAAGGAAACAGGCAGGTGGGTTTCCTGTCATAGGATCCCAGGCAAATGATCCTCTTATCTCAGAATCCTTCTTTTCAGCTTTAGGAATTCTACAAATAGAACGATAACACAAAAACTATATTTGATTAATCTGCCCCATGGCCTTTTAAATGATTTCCTTGATCATGTTGGATGTCCTAAAAATATAACCACAAAAATAGCCAAATTATTGAAACCACAAAAATAGCCAAGGCATTAAAAACGCAGATAGTGGAGAGGGGATCCCTTCACCTACTGATGTAACAGTACTGGCACTGCTCCTGCCATGGAGCTGAGCACAGAACCGTCGTCAGAACTAGTGATCACGAAGGGCAACCCCTGGGCTTGGCACATGAAGCTAAGACAACAAGAGATTAGTTTACATCCCTCTAAAGATGCTCAGGGTTTGGCCTCAGGGAGAGCTTTGAGAGCCAGAAAAAGAGGCTGATGGAGTATAGTTGAGCCAGAAAACTTAAGTCAATTTGTAGTTCTGATAGCTTGTTTTGAGGGAAGGCATTGACCTTCCTGAGCTTCCGTTCTTCATCTGTCGGATCAGTTTCCTACCTCCCACATCACAGAGCTGTGGTGAGGACTAGAAGAAGAAATGTCCGAGTCCTTTGCATTACTGTGAACCTCTACAGGCAGGTGTAGCATTTTCTATCACTGTTACTTGTCAGGAAGAAGGCGGTAAATCAGTAAGACCTGAGCTTCCTGATTTCACAGAATCTGTATTCTGTTTGAATGAAACATTTATTATTCCAGCTTTTCCAAGCTGCTTGATTTCAAGAAAAGAAAAGAAGGAAGAAACAGTGTCAAATTCTCTCCCTCTAAGTGACAGGCATTGAGCTAATTTTTCCCACCTTCATTTCATTTAATCCTTACTCTATCCACGAGAGATGGGGATTATTAATCCCATTGCACATATGAAGAACCTAATATTCAGAGAATTATGTAAATTTCTAAAATAATTACACAGTTGGTAAGTGGCTGAGTGGGGATTTGATCTTACAGTCTATTTATGGCACGTGATGTCTTGTTGAAGCAAGTTGAGGATGTTAGCATCTGTCCCATATTGATTCAAAGTTTGAATCTGAGAATTCCTCCTATGCCTAAATGCTACACAACATTGCTTTTTTAAGGCATGAGAGAACACTGATCAGTGATGTTCTAATTTATTTTCTAGCTATGCTATATTTTCAGCAGTCAGCCACATGTTCTTTTTCAAGCCCTCGGGGACCAAGTAAACACAGGAAATAAGACAATCAATGGAGGGCATCCCAGTTATTATTTAGAAATCTGTGATTTAGAGTATGACAAGTTCTTACTTCCATTTCTAGTTGTCAAAAGTCAGTCATCTAGTTTGGAATCAAACATCCTGGTTTGCATCTAGCTCTTCACCCTTGAATTTGGGAAACTGGCCTACACATTATCATATAGTTTGGAATCAAACATCCTGGTTTGCATCTAGCTCTTCACCCTTGAATTTGGGAAACTGGCCTACACATTATCACAAGTCTGTAATGGAAAGTACTTTGGGGAATGTGTGCTGCTGTTAGTCAGAGGGGAAGTGTCTGACTTTCCATTCCTTCCAGGTATTCATTTATATCTATGACTAGTCCATTTTTATTCTGTGAGAGAATCCTCCACTATGGATGAATGAGAATAATCAGAACACTTTCAGGAAGTATGACAGGGTGACTTCTGTGGCCAACAACACTGTCATCATGTGATCTCATGAGCTCAACAAGTGTTACTGGTCCTTAGCCACTCTGTGTTAATATGCAAATCAGTAATGGTGAAGCTGGATCACTACAGTGGATTTCTACGTCCTATGTACACTGTTTTGGACATAATTTTTTTCTCAAATATTGTTCCTTTTTTTCAAGCAGGACTGAGTTTAATTTTTGTGTCTCTTTAGTTTCTAAGCACCAAGGTTTGTTGTCTTCAAACAAGTTAACAGGTTAAGTTGGTCGAATGGGCTTTCTCCTCCACATCTGTCACTTTCTTTTGCAACCTGATACATATG